TAGACATATAAAGGTATATTGAAACAATCGTATCTATCCGAATAGAGCCCTTTCAGTTGGAGAAGTGTACAAGTGAGGAGTTCTGCAGATTGAGATATATCAGTAAAACTTTGGAAATAGATGGTTCAGTGTTCGACGAACCAGGAAGTTCTTAAGCATACTTTCATTTTGATGACTCTTCAACCTGTATCTCAATTAGCTGTCTTGCTGCTAGAGTGAACAAAAAAAATATTAACTAACTAATTATTACTCACGAATAAAGCTTAAAATCATTTTGTGCATTTTTTAATTTTCACCTGACTACGAACCCTGAATCACCAACCCTAAGATGTTGGCGGTTCAGTCGGGAGGTGGAATTAGCATAATACTACGTGACTTGATTCGAAACTTACACGGAAACATATCTTTTCATTTTAGGCTTTCACTCAGCACTGAGCGGTTGGATGTCACCAGGTTTCAGAAATCATTTCATTGTTAGAAAAAGGCTTTTCAGAAAGAAAGAACATTAAGTGAGATTTATATTCAAGCCATGCTCTTTTATAAAGAAAGTAGTCTTAAGCACAAATTGAACATTCAGTAGGTACGTAAGTTCCCGTCAAGAATTATCTTCAAAGTTCTTGAATCATTCCTTCGCGCCATACTTAGTACACGTGTAATAACACGTCTGCCATCAGTGGAAGGGGTAAACGTATGTTCCAGTAATCTATAGTCTAATCCTCAATGGAGCCCAAGTATATTCGAACCATTTTCAAGTTCTTATTATACTTCATTCTACTTCTCATTAATAATGTTTATGAGTTCTTTGTCAGAGTGAGTGTTGGTGTCTGTCCTAGGAAAATCATGTTCTTCCCTTAAGATATTTTGTGGTCATATCCCAACAGGGAAGGTGCGACTGAGAAAAGTTCTCCTTCGATACAAGTTCGATCTTGAAGAACTATCTCGAACTGAAGACTTCCTATTGAGTCCTGGAATTTTCGTCGAACCGGCTAGCTTAGATCATCCTAACTGGCATATCTATTGTATCGATGAGGTAAGGTAGAGCAGTATCCGAAAGACTGGAGTAAATTCTAGAACTTGGTCACTTTTGTCTATTTAAAGTCATCTATCGACAAATACAGTATCGTCCATTATCCGTTTATGTTTGTACCTGTGCATACTGACGTGAGGATGTCTTCTTGAATATTAGGTTGAGAAACGCCACTATTGCAGGCGATTCAAGTGGCACAACTTAGCCATGACGACTTTATCAAATTGGCAAATACTTTCGAACAGAAGTCTCAGCCGAAAACCGTGAGAGCTTCCCTGTAACGTGTAATCCTTTTCTATGCAGGTTCTTTTCACCAACACAGCAAGATGTGGCTCAACACTGATGGCGAAAATGCTTCATCGTCCCGGTAAGTCGATATGCTATGGAGAGCCTCATTGCCTTACCAACCTCGCAATCATGGACAACGCGGAATCGCTATCACCTGAGGTTACTACACTCTTGAGCCGAAAAAAAACAAACAAACAATACAGAGAATGAAATCGTTGGTATCAGCTGCCATCACCTGCTTGAGAGTTCATACA